GAGTGGCAATAAACCTGACGAAGCAATATTTGTTGGCATATTATGTGCTTGTGCTCATATGGGCTCTCTTGAAATTGGGATATGGATTCATAGTTATGTAAAGAAATTGAGATTGCCATTGAGTGTTAAATTGGGGACTGCTCTTATTGACATGTATGTGAAATGTGGGCAGTTGGATTTAGCTGATGAAGTGTTCGATGAAATGCCGAGCAGAGATGTTGTTACTTGGAACGCTATGATCTCAGGATATGCTATGAATGGGAATGGAGATTGTGCACTTGAGATGTTTAACCAGATGCAAAAGGTTGGAGTGAGACCGGGCGATGTTACTTTTATTTCTTTGTTCACTGCTTGTAGCTACTCAAACATGGCATATGAAGGTCTGAATTTGCTGTATATTATGCTTAATGTGTACAACATTGAGCCCAAAAGTGAGCACTATGGATGCATAATCGACTTTCTTAGTCGTGCTGGGCTTATCGAAGAAGCAAATTATGTAGTGCAGAGAATGCCGATTTCAAGTGCTCCATCTGAAGCAGCAATAGCTTGGAGGGCATCACTTAGTTCCTGTTGTAGACAAGGGCAAATCAATGAAACAGAAGTTGCTGCTAAGAAAATTGTACAGTTAGAAAACCGTAGTGGAGCGTTCTGCTCTCGAATGTATACTCAGATGCTGGAAAATATGATGAAGCGAGGAGGATTAGGAAGGCAATGAAAAGTTGAGGGGTCGAGAAGACTCCAGGCTGCAGCTCAGTTGAGATTAATGGTGTTGTGCATGGGTTATTGCTGGGGAGAAGTCACATCTCCAGATGGATTAAGTATATGAACTTCTTCAAATCATCAACAAACACTTCGACTTTTCGCAACATAATTCAATTTTGCTGCCTTTACAAACAGGAGGAATAAGATCTCTTCCAAATAAATTTCACTACTGAGTTTGAAGCTTAGAAAAATGATAAGCACTTTAGTTCATGCAATCATACTCAATTTCTCCATTTCTTCCATCATGAGAAATGACATGACAGAGAAGAAAACCATAATTTATACTGAAAAAGTATACAAATTATTTATTTATTGTTCTATGATATTTTAGGTGCAATTGAAGGATATTTAAGATATATGGATATAGTTGAGTACTGGTCCCTGAACTTTACATCATGTGCCAATAACATCTCTAAACTTCAATGGACTTCATTAGTCCTTCAACTTAATGTTATGAACCCATTAGTTCCAAAAAGAGATTATATCCATAAACACTACGGAACGCAGATGTGGTTCCGTTAATTGAATATGTAAGCATCCTAATCTCACATTATTTGAACACGTGGACATTTTAAAATGGAAAAATTATCTATGGAGAGTTAATGTTAATGAGAAATAAATAAAAACGCAAATAAAAAGGAAAAGGAAAAAACTCAATTTTTACCACCACCAACACCAAACAGCCCAAGCCATAACCACCATACCTTCCCAACACCCCCTCTACTTCACCACCACCCGAACAACTCCACTCCCCCAACAGTAAAACGACTAAGAAAACCACTATTGGCTTCATGCAACTGACTCAAGGAAAAGACAAGCTATTGTTTCAATAGGGCAATCTTAGGAATCAAGGACCTACAAATGTTGGTTGTTGTAACAACCAAGATGAACAGTACTTGTAATCACTCATTTAAAATGAAACTATTAAAAAGAAAACTGGATTATATGCATGAGCTGATGAGGAGGGTAGATGAGTATGTAGACGTGGAAGAGGCCATTTAGATTAACCAGGACACAGAAGGAACATAGGAAACCGAAACAAAAAAAAAAAAAAAAGAGGAAGTTTTCAGATGAGCACAAGTCGAGGGATGACAAAGGTAAGTACAATGTTGATCATCATAGTCGTGGTTGACTGGATGAAGAAAGGAAAGAATCCAACTACACCCTTTAAACACTTCAAAGACAACATCCTAATGATGATAGGATCTCATACCTAATAGATCCCCAGATTCTTCCGTAAGTCAACTCTCCTTTTCCTTCTGAACATAAATCTCCTCAAATCAAAGAAAATATGATTTTGAAAGTGTCCCACATCCACAAGGAGCTTGTAATCCCATTATTACTGATACCATTCGTCCAATCAATATTGTGTTTGAAAGTAGTGCTCAGAGTTGATCTATGGTGCGATTTAATCCTAGGATTCTACCATATATTGATTGATATTTCATCCACTTTCTAACCTCAATCTTTTTTCTTAGTTAACATCAGAAAAAAGAACAAGTACGATAAGACCCAACTTTTACCCAAGCAGACTGGCAAACAAGTTCTCATTGCGCCCATTGTGAGATTCCTAACTTAATAATAGGCTTCATCCATGTAAAATGCTGATTAGGTGACAACAAGAAAGAAAGACGACATGTAGAAAATGCATGTGGAAATCAAAACATATTATTAACTCAAATTTGTAGCATATAAGATGAATAACCTTGCTGGCGATCAACGTCGTTCAAAAATTTGCACCATTCAACCCACCCATGGTTTGCATAAAGTAAAGAAGCTCCACAGCTTGTAGACAATTCTTTTTAAGAAAACGTTTTAGCAGTTCACTAGGATTTGGGACACTATACTATATTGTATTTAATTTCTAGATAGACAGGGTTAAAAAAACTACTTTATCATCTCGATCCTGCCACTAATGTTCAGTCCAGCAAACAATTAGAGATTTGACACCTGGGATTGCATTCAAAGTTCTCAAAGGTATGACCCGAAGGAAATCATAAGTGCAATAAAAATACAAGAGCTTAGAATTCTAAAAGAATACTTAAGAGAGATCATAATTATACTTTTAGCAGTATGCTGACAAGAAAAATCTGAAATCAAGATCTACTTAAACCATACAAGCACTCACTAGAACACATTGCCATATATGCATCAGCACATATATACCAAATCAAGTCTCCACTTCAATAATCACAAGACTGACAAAAATCATGCACTTAGAAGCAATATTATTAATAAAACTTCAACAGCTCTAATCTGTTGTTCTTTCTCAAGGGCCAGATACAAAATTAAATTGATGAAGCTGAACAGTTAAAGTAATAATCAATTTACTCACTTAAATAAGTTTAACAACAATCACAAGAGTGAAATTGGACCATAATCACAAGAGTCAAAACCCTTCGCCTTCCAAAAGTTTTTCATGTGTCTAAATAAGTAAAGAAAATGACATAAATAACCAAGTCAAAATAAATTGAAAAATTATTTTTTTAATGAAAAACCACAAATAATAAAATTACTTTATAGGAAATCAATGCAAAAGAAAAACCTAATCTTTTTCAAAGGAATTGAATCAAAGGAGA